AGAATTCCCACAAGAAAGAACATCCTGTTTATCTCTGCCTGTAATTTTCCTTCTGCAGCCATTGTAGTAGCTTTGGAATCCCCCTAGAGGGATTCTGGTTACTTTTTAAACTTTTCCCAACAGTCCAAACCTTTTTATGTTTCTTTCTATCAAGTCTCCAACAACTTTGTTTCAATTTAACTTTTAGCTCAGAGAGATATCAATTAACAATCTTTCAATCTGTCCATTTGACAGCTCTTTTGACAGCTGTCAAACTCCTTATTCTTCTTCACCAGACTCAAACACAGGACTCTCCCTGGTCCCTGGGGGGGGGGGATTTTCTCAGACAAAAAAGAGAAAAAACATTCTCCTCACTCTCCAGCAGAACACTCTTTTGTTAAATCGTGGAAGATAGCTTCTTTTGTAGTATATAAAAGTATCTTTTCCGCCTTAGTTCTCTCGACCTTGCTTGAGAATTGTCTGTAATTAGGGGGGGTGCGGACTCCCTTTTAACACACCCTCCGGTCGTCTTGAATTCAAAAGGAAAATTTCTTAAAGTCGAATTCCGTTTACTCACGGGTTAGTTCTTTCAGTCCAAATTTTCAGGGAGGAAGTCAGCGCTCTCCGGTCGTGGCTCGCGGCTTTGCTCCACAGAGGTGTCGATCGACTCACAGCGCCACACCACCCTCCGTACCCTTTCGGGGGTCGGGGGGTGCTTAAGGCGCCCACCGAGTCTTCCAGTCCGTAGGCTTCAGCGCCTACGGTTTCTGCGGGTCCCCGCGTCGCCGGCGCGGCAAAACCCAACCTCTGTGGGGCCGATTCCCTCCGCAGCTCGGAGGGGATCCGCCATTTCCAGATCGCGCTAACCCGGAAGTCTATCCAGGGGTACCCTTGAACTGCCAAAAGGATGTCTCAAAGAGAGTGCAGTTCTATCCAGTGTACATCTCATCCCAAATTAGCTTTCCTAACACCTAATAACACCTCTGTATTGCCATATCTAGTCAATCGTTGTACCTAGACATAAACTTTGGAACCTTCACTGCCTTCTTGACATTAGCTGGAAAGGGGAGAGGTGGGTTTCAGCAGCATAGTGTGAGCACCCAAACCCCAGTACTTTCAGTATTAAGCTCATTAGCCTTAATTTCATATGCCCATAGAGAAAGATTGGCAGAGAAAGAGAGAAAGATGGGGCAACGCACAGAAAAAGGACCTGATCAGGTGTGTGGTGTCATTCCCAGGTAAGGCAGCCTCCTTTATACAATTCAACAAGGCAGGTTTTGAAGCAGCAAAATACTAATTTATGTGTACATTTCTAATATGCATGCATTTTGCTTACCATACGTATATATGGTGGGTGAAGAGATTCAGGTGCATTATCCCACAGCCGGGTTGGATTTTTGTTTACTCCGCTTATTTCAAAGGAACTCACAACTAAGTGCGCACAAGACTCCAGCATCCTTACAAGAACCCTGTAAGATAGGTCAGCCCTGTTATCCTATAATGACAGGTGTAAGGGAAGAAGGGTGACACTGAGGAAATGTGACTCACCCAAGACCACACATTGCAGAAGTGAGAATGACCTAAAGACTTCACAGCACAGCTCACACGCTTAGCTACTACACAGATCAGCTCTGGTAACAGAACAACTGAATCCTGTGCAACACTCTGGGAGATCTACTGAAATTGCATATTGTCTTTAAAATGCTGCAATCTTTTGACTCATTTTTGCCACACATTTCTCTAGCTCTAATTCTGCTTTGGCCTTAGAGAAGCCTCGTGTGATTAAGAAAAAATAAAACAAATTGTTACTTAGCAAAGTTGAAAGCAATTTGAAAAGTACAGTACACACAATCTCTTGTCATTTCAAAAGTAACATCAGAAACTGAAACTTATATTCATCTATAAAGACCAGGCATTTACTTATGCCTGTGTCATATCACACACAAGTTTAACTTGTGCTCATGCTCATCTGAAAGTCCCAAGTAAGCATTTTGAATATACACAGCTTTGTAGAAGTTGATCTAGAAAATCACAAAATGACACCTAAATTGTGTCATTATCCCACAATTATATTTGTTGCTCATGGTGTGGTGAAATCTGCATGGAGCAACACTTTGTGAAAGAGCCCAATATGAATGTACTTCCTTGGGTGCAGTGTGATAGCAAGGTAAAATTTCTGATTGATAATGAATTCTCTGTGGCATTCCATAACCTCTCATTCTGATATACCGTAAATTTCGCTCTATAACACGCAGATTTTTTTCTCCTAAAAAGTAAGGTGAAATGTCTGTGCGTGTTATTGAGCGAATGTGTGGTCCCTGGAGCTGACTCTCCGGAGCGAAGGGGCAAAATAGGCAAAAATCAGGCAAAAATAAGATTGGGCGGGCGGGCGGAGGGAAGAGGGAAGGCGGAAGCTGTGGCTTTCCTGCATTCTGCCTCAGGGTCTTACTGCCCACCCGCTTCTGTTGCTGCTGCGTTTGCTCAAACTCAACAAAGAGCAGGGAATCCCCTGCCCTCCTGGCAAGCAGAGGGTTAAGGAAATGATCGAGTCCTTCTAATTCTTTCCTAGTCACACTGCGTGCAGGCTCCAGCCCACCACCTCCTCCTCTCCGTGCTCTAGGGACTCGCAGGCAGCCGAAAAACACGCAAGTGGGAGAGAGAGAGAGAGAGAGGGCTGGCTTGGGTGGGGTGGAGGGGACTTTTGCTTTACAATGGTAGGTTTCTCATTTCTTTTCCAAAAGCAGAGAGCCCTGCCCCCAGGCCCCCTCCAAATTACAGCTTCTCCAAGCAATGTACTGCTGGAGGGAGACAGTATGCTTGTTTGGAAGAGAAACCCTGCTTCCCTGCTCGTAAGTAACAGCAGGCTGGATTGCAGAGTGAGACATGGAAATCTCTGGATTTATATGCTGTATATCAAATATCTTAATCTATACTTTCTAACGCGGCAGGTAAATCAGAATCTCCTGAGCCAGGAGGATTACAGCATCTCTCCTCTCCCCTTCATTAAAAGCCTAATACTCTTCTTTGAAGAAGTATAACGTGAGAATGTTTTTTTAATATATTTTTTAAAGTTCATTTCCTCATTGTGCGCTATACACTGATAATTGCTGCCACAATAACAATTGATTGAAAATGGAATTTAGTCGTCCCCCCCCCATAGAAACCTGTTCTTCAAACATTTAGCCTTAATACAGTGGCTGATGTAATACCCTTCTGCTTCACTAGGCATTTTATATAGGGACATTAAAATTGATTTTCTACATCTTGGCAGATGAAAAAAAGTGTGTTACATGCCCTATTGCCCAAAAGTGTGCAAGCACAGAGCAAAGGTTGCAGTGACAGAGGTGGCCAAAAAAGAAATACCGTAAATAAAAAAGAAATCATACTTCGTATATCCTGTCTGTTTTTTCCTTAATAGGGACTTTTATAAGCATGGATCCACAGGATCTTTGCACTGGGTCACCCCAAATTCACCATCAGATAACATAGCATGTCCATGGCTACAGCCTGCACCAAAAAAATCACGCACCCACTGTTGCCTAGGGTCGCAGTGGTGCAAAAACGTGGTTACAAAGCATGGATCCACATGGATCCTCAGGATTTTTGCATTGGGCTACTCCAAACTCACTGTCAGATCACATGTCTGTGGCCACAGCATGAACCACAAAAATCATACATCCACTGTTTCATTTAGAATATTTTTTTTCTTGTTTTCCTCCTCTAAAAACTATGTGCGTGTTATGGTCTGGTGCGTGTTATAGAGCGAAAAATACGGTAATTGGAAGCAATTGCTGAAAAGCAGAGAAGTACTTTCAGTGAAGCAGCTTAAGAAAAAGAATTTTTTTAAGACGGGGGGTTGAAAAATGAGGGCTCCTTATAGGAATAAATCTTAACAAGTTCATAGTAATACTATGGCAAGTTTAAAAAGCCAATTTAAGAAGACTCTTTCTAGGGCAAATGACTTAATCTAATCCTGAATACACTTACAAACATAAGATCAGCCCTACTGGATCATGCTGAAGACCCACAATGGGAGACAACTAGAGCGCAGGTGGTGGAAAACTCACTCCAAAGCTGACTGAATGCTTATTCAGTCACAGAATGCTACCTGTAAAGCAGCAGTGAAGGCGACAAAAGAGAATTACCGTATTTTTCGCTCTATAAGACGCACCAGACCACAAGACGCACCTAGTTTTTGGAGGAAGAAAACAAGGGGAAAAAAAAGATTCTGAATCTCAGAAGCCAGAACAGCAAGAGGGATCGCTGCACAGTGAAAGCAGCAATCCCTCTTGCTGTTCTGGCTTCTGTGATAGCTGCGCAGCCTGCATTCGCTCCATAAGACGCATACACATTTCCCCTTACTTTTTAGGAGAGAAAAAGTGAGTCTTATAGAGCAAAAAATATGGTACTTTGCCGCCTCTATTGCATCCTCAAAGAGCTGTCTGGCAGAGTTGTTTTGGATAGTCCAAAGACTGATCATTACCAGAAGTGGTAGACGGACCTCTGGAGCACTCAGCAGCATGCTGTGATCAGTTTTCACAGCACTTTGAGGATAAAGTAACTCAGCTCCATAGTGCCTTGGGTGTCACCGTCATTGCAGTTCCACCTGATACAATTCCTTCCCATGCTCTGCGGGATCAGTTTCAATTTACATGGCCCAATGATTTGGACAAGACTCTTACAAAGATGTGCTTCTTGCTCTCATGAACCATGTGCACAACCAGGCTGTGGTGAGTGCATCTTTATGTGATGGAATGATGCCTGCTTCTCTTAAACAAGTGGCAGTGTGTTCACTCCTGAAGAAGCCCATTCCAGTTCCTATAATTTATAATAACAACCACCCAGTTGCAATTACAGTTGTACCTCGGGTTACAGACGCTTCAGGTTACAGACTCCGCTAACCCTGAAATAGTACCTCAGGTTAAGAACTTTGCTTCAGGATGAGAACAGAAATCGTGCTCCGGCGGCGCAGCAGCAGCGGGAAGCCCCATTAGCTAAAGTGGTGCTTCAGGTTAAGAACAGTTTCAGGTTAAGAACGGACCTCCAGAACAAATTAAGTACGTAACCAGAGGGACCACTGTACCCCTTTTGGGGACAAGGTGGTGGAGAAAGTAATGGCTGAGCAGTTGCAGAAGTTCCTGGGGGATACAGATTATTTAGACCCACCTCAATCTGGTTTCAGGCGCAATTTTGGGACTGAATCAACCTTGATTGCTACTGGGTACCAGTTGCTGAAAACCACAGGTGAGCAGAGTGCTATTGCACTCATTTCTGGCTTGCAGGCATCTGGCTGGCCACTGCGAGAACAGGATGCTAGATTAGATGGGCCATTAGCTGATTCAGCAGGCTCTTAGGTTTTTATGCTCAGAGCCATATAGCTTCGCAAGGTTGCAACTTTTCTCTGAGAAAGCCCTTCTGTCTTGAATGTGCTGAACAATGGGCAGAAATTTAAGTTATGACTCTTCCTAGCATCAAGAGTACAGTGCCTATTGAATTTCTACCTGTCATTCAGTTGTTAAACTCCACTAGAAGTTGCTCTATTTAGCTACAGCCTTCAAATGCAATACACAGGACCAGAACAGCATTAGAAACTGACATAAGATCCAAATTAAATATTTCTAGCAAGTGTACTTAGGAATAAGCCTTTCATGATTTCCATGAATGGAAGGCTTGTCACTAAAATCACTTAGTAGGAATAATTTGTACTGAACTCAGTGAGACTTACTGCTAAGTAAACATGTTTAGGATGTTTAGCATTGTGCTGTAAGTGTGTTTAGGATTAGGACTGCAATATCAATTCCCTTTACAGGCTAAAGTTACTAGAGTAATTATTAAAATTGGAATCATCTGAAGCTTATTGGAGTTTGTCATGTGAGATTAAATGCAGCTATTTATGAGAAGGAAACATGAACTTGGAGGCAAAAGGAGAACAAAGTCAAGAAAACCTACTTAATCCTTTCTCTTGGAAGAAACTGTGTTGCCTAACCTTCTTTTGAAATAATTATGCCATCCCCTCTTCCACATAGTCGTCTTCTCCATCTGGAATTTTCTCCATCTGTGGAAACACGACCCTGTAGTAGTCCCTTGGTGTTTCCTGCCAAACGTGAAAAGTTGGGGGAAGATCCGTTGCCTAGGGCTCGTCGGCTACCCTCTCGTGTAGCTTGGTGTTCTATAGACTGGGATCAGTTGTGCCTGCTGCACCCCCTAGGCTCTGGTGGCTTTGGTTCTGTCTACAAGGCTACGTACCATGGAGCTACAGTGGCTGTAAAGCAGGTAAACAAATGCAGTAAGAACCGTTTGGCATCACGGCAGAGCTTCTGGGCAGAACTAAATGCAGCACGCCTTGATCACAAAAATGTGGTGCGTATAGTAGCTGCTAGCACATGTGCCCCTGGCAATCAGGATAGTTTGGGCACCATAATAATGGAGTATGTAGGAAATAGGACTCTGGACCATGTTATCTATGGGACTGGCTGTATAACAGCTAAAAAGAAAGATGATCAGCTGAGTATAGCTCAGTGTCTGGGCTACTCCTGTGACATTATGGCAGGCTTAGTGTTTCTCCATTCACATTTGATTGTGCATCTGGATTTGAAACCTGCCAACATATTCATCACTGAACACAATGTTTGCAAGATTGGAGACTTTGGATGTTCCCAAAAGCTACAGAATGCTGCATCTGACCCACAACTTTGTCAACAAGGGGGAACATACACCCACCGTGCTCCTGAACTCCTTAAAGGTGAGCGAGTCAACCCCAAGGCAGACATCTACTCCTTTGCCATCACCCTCTGGCAAATGGTTACACAGCAAGAGCCTTATTCGGGTGAGCGCCAGTATGTACTCTACTCTGTTGTAGCTTATAACCTGCGCCCTTCTCTGACTGCAGCTGTGTTTAGAGAATCAACCACTGGCCAAAGGCTTGAAAATATAATTGGAAGCTGTTGGAGAGCTGATGTAGCAGAGCGTCCTAGTGCAGAACGTCTCCTTCACAATCTTCAGTCCCTGTCTCTAATAGTATAAAAGACCTTGTCTTGTCCCTCTTCATTTTTATTGTTGATCATCTCTTGCTAAGTTTGTGTATCTTATTGCTCTGATTCTTCTCTGCATGCAAAAGAAGTTTAAAAATATATATGTTGCGGTGGTCAATTTTCTATAAATAAAGTTCATTACAGGAAATTAGTAGTAGGTTTGATGGTGTTCAGAGAATGCTATTAGCTGTATTTGACAGTGCTCAGAGACTGCTATTAGCTGTATTCAGTTTATTATTTTGTCCTAAGCATCTGCATAGGTTAAATATGCTCAAGATCTGAGACTTGGTTGCTATCCTAGGCACACTTTGGTGGGAATTGGGTCCATTGAAGATAATGGAGCTTCCTAATAGGAATGCATACCAAGAAAAATGTAACAATTATCATACTCCCAGTGTCATATATCAAACTAGTATTGCACAAAGGGGGGGGGTGTAACAGTGTGATTATTATTTTATTCTCTTTGAAAATGGTGATATATCTGTGTGGATTGAGCTACAAATAAGTTATATAATTTATTTCCTTGTTTTAAATATTTGCTAAGCCACAGTGACATGATTTCAATGGTCAAAATAGGCTCACAAACAAGGTATCAGTATGTGTAACATATCCATGCATTTTTGGGGGAACTGATAAGAATGATGAATAATAGATTGGCTCGCTATTTTGTCTCCAGTTAAACCATCCAGCTGTCCATTACCAGGTGGTACAGTTTATGAAGATACTTTCTTAACTATACCTAGATAGCAAAAGGCTTGACAAAACAGAGACCAATCCTTGATGGGCAAATACAACTGCAGTTCACAAGCAGTCATTTAAAGGTCATAAATGTAAGAGTTAAGTTTAACTATCTAGTGATTGCTTTTAAAGTGTGTCCAGACACAATAGAGAACAGGACCCTGCACCTTTAATAGTAGTGTAGAAGTCGGAATTTCAGCAGGTGTAGCTTGTCCTGAATCTAGCCACCCTAGAATGAATACTCAAGCATTATTCTCCCAGATTAGTATTGTTTGGAAAGGAAAAAGAATGATCTTGAATTGTTTCCATGTTTTGTGCCCCTATGTGAATTACAAGCATTCTGAAGATGATAAAACCTTATTTGCGGTCTTGGGGAAACCAAGAACAACACAAAATAGTTAACTTCTAACAATGGTACTGCAAAAAGATTTGTATACATATTCATAACAATGTACTTTTAATATGTGGTGTGTGAGTTATGCTGCAAACCATCACCTGATCTTTGGGTGAAGCGTGGTATATTAAATATTATTATTATTATTATTATTATTATTATTATTATTATTATTATTAATTTATACCCTGCCCATCTGGCTGGGCTTCCACAGCCACTCTGGGCGGCTTCCAACAAAATATTAAATTCCAGTAATGCATGAAACATTAAAAGCTTCCCTAAACAGGGCTGCTTTCAGATGCCCCATTGATAATGAAGCAGGAGACTGGAGGACTGCAATAGTTTTCTAACTAAATCTAAAGATATGGTGAAATCCTTGCTATTTTATTGCAACACCCTCTCAGATGACCTTTGAATTATGGATAATGATTTGTTTAATTTTACTTCCATGCAAATGTCAATGTTCCCATTTTGGTTGTTGCAAGTCTTCTGCTACCTTGTTCTTAAATGTTTGTGTTTAACATTTAAGCCTTGCTCTCATATCCACATTTTCTTTATAACACACACACACACCCCTTCAATTTTCTTTTATGTTAAGAAGTGCAAGTTGAAGTTTATTATAAATCAAAGCTACTTCTGAAAACAGTTTCCCTACCATCCCAATATTCTGGTCACAGTTCAGAGAGCTCTTTTAGGTCACGTATGCACTATGGACTTTGGCTTATGGTGATGGTGGGGACGTCCTCTTCTCCTCCCCTCAAGTATTGCAAACTGCTTCAAACAGTCATTCAAACTTCCAAGAGACTTACCCTGTGCTACAATATGCTGCTGTTTGTGGGGGGTAAATCATATTGATTTCTGTATTATGACTATGGCGGTATTTGTTGATATGAATAGACTGTGGCTTACATAAGCTTATAGGATAGGCTGTTTTAGGAACACAGCTGGGAGCAAATGCAATTCCCGTTCTCACAATAAGAAAATCTTGTTTCCAGCAGAATCAAGTTTTGCCAAGTTAGTCTGTTTTGATTAAGATATAAGGAAGTTTAAAATAGCACTCTCAATTGTATCTATTTAAACAATAATCCAAAATAAGCAGAGTATTTTTAAAAACACAGAACAGCTGCTGATGCTTCCTGACTTCGTGCCTAGAACTCTCTAGCTTTCTTGTTTGGCTGACAGAACGACACTCTGTTACAACATCTAAAACTATATATATATATATATATATATATATTTGCTTTCGTAGATTTTCACGGGTACAGGAATGCAGGTTTTGGTGTCCTCGGGTGTCTTCCCATGTAAAAGTTGGGGTGTCTAGGCGACGTTTCGACGAGGTCTCACTCGTCATCTTCAGGCTGGTGCTTTCGGCTTCTTGTTACTGGAACAGAGCAGGATCTCAGTGTTTGAGTTCCTATAAATACTGTTGAGGGGGTGTGGTGTATAGCCTCCAATGTTCTGGGCAGAGAGGAAGTTCCCAGGCTAGTGTGCCTTTTCTTCTTTTGTTCCTTAATTACTTGAGGAATATCTTGAGTGATTTCTTGAGTGATATTCTGAGTGATATTTGCTTTCGTAGATTTTCACGGGTACAGGAATGCAGGTTTTGGTGTCCTCGGGTGTCTTCCCGTGTAAAAGTTGGGGTGTCTAGGCGACGTTTCGACGAGGTCTCACTCGTCATCTTCAGGCTGGTGCTTTCGGCTTCTTGTTACTGGAACAGAGCAGGATCTCAGTGTTTGAGTTCCTATAAATACTGTTGAGGGGGGGTGTGGTGTATAGCCTCCAATGTATATATATATATATATATATGGATACCAGCAAAACAGGGTTACGAAGCTAATCCAAAAAGAAACACCCCCCAAAAACCAAGACACAGAAGAAAACAATGGCATGGCCCTCCTTCCTTATATCAAGGGCACTACAGATAAAATTAGCAAAATCCTCCATAAACACAATATCAAAACAGCCTTTTGCACCAACCAAAAAAATAGCCAATATCCTCAGAAACCCCAAAGATAAAATCCAGTTGGAAAACCAAGGGGTCTATGAAATACCCTGCAAAGTCTGCCCAGCCACGTACATTGGACAAACAAACAGACGAATAAATGCACGTATCGCAGAACACAAGAATGCCGTCAAAAAAGAAGAAAAAACTTCCTCTCTTTTCCAACACATGAAAGAAACAGGACACGAAATTAATTTTGCAGATTCCAAATTGCTCTTTAACATGGAACATCACCACAAGAGAATAATCATGGAAGCCATCGAGATAGAGAAACACCCTCACAACATGAACAAGCGTGACGACACGTCCCGCCTGCCAGACATCTGGAAATTAGCCCTCCCCACAAAAACCGACACCAGATCCAGAGGCACACAGAACGCCATCACCAATCAACCACACCAGACCCAAACCCAGACCCTCTCCACAGATAAATTACAGACACCATCCAGTAGCCAAACCATGGTGGCACCTCCGGATGCCGCACCCCCCTGCAATCCCTACACAGATCTGGCTGGCACAGGGCACAAAACCACAGCTCGCCCCTATACACGAAGCCAAGCCAGAGCACAACTAAGTGCAGTACAGCCATCTTCTCAGAAAAACTCTTCACAAAGTTCAAGAGGTCAAGACACGAAGACTTTAGCAACTAATCCACACCTAATGACCCACCTAAGTGGTACTCAGAATATCACTCAAGAAATCACTCAAGATATCCCTCAAGTAATTAAGGAACAAAAGAAGAAAAGGCACACTAGCCTGGTAACGTCCTCTCTGCCCAGAACATTGGAGGCTATACACCACACCCCCTCAACAGTATTTATAGGAACTCAAACACTGAGATCCTGCTCTGTTCCAGTAACAAGAAGCCGAAAGCACCAGCCTGAAGATGACGAGTGAGACCTCGTCGAAACGTCGCCTAGACACCCCAACTTTTACACGGGAAGACACCCGAGGACACCAAAACCTGCATATATATATATATATATATGGCAAAGTCTGAGGCATCTATAACTTGACAACTGGATATGTGTCATACACTACAAATATACAGAAGTGATGTTTTTAATATAGTATAACTGAATGCCCACCACTGTGTTCACCACTGTGAAAGTGAACATTATTGGGATCAAACCTGCTTGTACAGAAGAAATAGCATGTGGTCCAGAAATACTCTTTTACTTGGATATGGCTACAGTTGCAGAAGAAGTTCTATCTCCCACATTAACATGTTTCCTTCAGGTTCACTCATTATAACCTATGTATGTGCACAAAAACATGGGCTTGAGAATTTCTCTATGCAGCTGTGTTGCCACTGTGAAACTAGTCTCCAAAATTGTAAAACACGGTATCTTGCTACTAGACCCCAGAAACAGCTTTTCCAGAATAGTGTCTATCAATTAAAATAAAACAAAAATTCCAGAAGGTATCAAAACACAAGGATTCATAGCTGTTATTAGATGAAATTTCCCTCTCATATGCAGATTGCTGCCTTGAGACTTTAAATGAGCGCTAATTAGGAGATCGAGCTACCTGTCCACACAAACTCACTTTTAAGAACTAAGACTGCAATAGGGATGCGGGAGAAATTTTATTCTCTCCACATTTTGGGATGAGCCAAATTATTTTACCATGTCCCCTGCAACAATGTGCAAATCAGGACATACGGTAGGTATGTGGATTAGTCTCCACAATTTGTGAACCAATATGTGTATCAATACAATACTAATTATTAGTTCATTTATGAACTGCTTCCTGTGAAGTATTTCAAAGCAGTTTCACAATACATAGCCATTTAGAAGGCTTGTTGAAAGAGGAAATGATTTTTTGCTGAAAAGACGAGATATGGCACCTGTCTAACGGGCAGGTGCTGGCACACTAGAGGGCCCATTGTAGTATCATGCAGACAGACTTCCTGGCAATATGGTATCTGCAAAATGCCTTATGCTGCATACTCTAATTGTTGGTTAGTCATATAAGGGGTGATATTATATTTTAGGTATCCTTGTTCTAGCTA